GGTGGGTGGGCGGGTTGGTTGATATTTGCCGAAACAAGAACACCCGGCGGCTCCATGCCGGTATATCGAACCTGCTCCTGCTCTCGCGTATTAATGCGGCGGAAGTTAGTTTCCGATCCGTTGCAGCTAAACTCGAGCACGCCAACCTTCCAGCAATTTTTGGTGTGTAATGCAGTCTGACTGCACATCGATCAAGCCGGCGATTACGTTCTCGGCGTTTCGGCTTTTTCGTGTCGACAAGCGACAGCACGAAAGGACGATAAGTTCTTTGAGTTTTATGCCTTTCGGATTTGCAACGTGGTGATCTAATGGCCAGCATTTAATATCACGGGAGAGCGCGGCGGAAGCGTCGCGTTTCCTCTTCGCAGCTGCACGAGGAGAGAGAGAGACTTCATTAGAAACGCGAATAACTATTTCCGACGACGAATATATTGATCAGCTTCTCGACGCGCGTCCTAACCCGACGGGGGATTTGCTCCGGGTAAATTCGATCGACTCACCATTTAACATGCTAGATTACCCGAAAGGCATCCTCTAAGCAGTCCTCTTGTGAGAGCGAGTTGATGTAAAAATTAACGCCGGAAACCCCGGGGTTACGAAATTATCTCGCAACTGGTAGAAGTTTAACTCGCGCGCTCGACGGAAGAAGCGAGATCGGCTTTGCGCTTTCTCGTCGTAGCTGAAATTTCCTCAGGATCGCGTGATCGCGAAAATAAATATTTCTCGATAAACGCGCACACGTCGCAACCGCGAGCTCCCACGATTCGACTCGAAGGAAAGAGTCGACTCTCGACGAGGGTCGAACCCGACGACGCGCGTATATTTGTTATTTCCCTACGGAATCGCTCGCGGAGTGAGTCGCAGAAAACCAACGGAAACTGTCACGTCGCGCATGCCGAAGCGGGGTGTAGGTGTTCGTTGATTGAGAGTAATCTGTTTTGTTAATTGCAAGGTCCGCGGAGTCCGATACCTGCGGTTGCGTTGTGCTGCGTTCAGCATTACAAGCTCTCCTCTCTCTCTCTCTCTCTCACTGTCCTAACGGGCGGTAGTCGCTCCCGCCTCTCCATTCGCCCGGTGGATCCACCACCCTCGGCGTCGTCCCCTACGTACCGGCTCACACAACATCGCCGACCGCAGCGTGAGCCTGAGTCGCAGAGAACGCCGGCGGAGACTACGGGGGCGGTTAACCGACTAATTGCAATACTGACGCGTCCGTTCGCAGTATTTGTGAAATTCTGATCATATCCGCCGTCCTTGCGACGCCTATCGGTGGTATAATAGGCGCTATCCGTGCGCACCGCAACCGCGCTCGCGTCCGAGCGCGCGCTAATGGACCGTCAAAAGCGGGATTCAGCGTTCTTTTCCGGCCGCGAATCGCGTCATTTTTCAGGCAACGCGTCCGACCCGCTCGATTTACAACGGGGCCCGGCGCAAAAACGTGAAAAGGGGAAAGAAAAAAAATGTAGCGCGGCTGTTATTGTTGCTGCAACGAGCGGCGATCGGCTCGTGAATGCAGGAAGTCGAGAAAGGAAACGAGTTTCAGTCGCCGGCTGACAAATACCGCGCGATGATGCTCTCTCTCTCTCTTTTTTTTTTTTTTCACGCTCCCTCTGGTTAGCGAGAGATCTACCGATGTGAACGGCAAAAATCTGTCGTAAGGCGCGAAACCCGCGTCTGTTTTCAGCGAGCTGTAAAAGCGAGACAATCGACGAGCTCCCGAGTTCTCTCCTGAGAGCGAAGAGTAACATGTGCGATCGATCGTACCTGGTGTCGCCCTCGCGTTACTTCGCTCTCGAATGCAAGGAAGAGCATGTCGCAAGGAATTTTGCATCGCGCGAATTTACATCGCTCGGTTTCTTCATCCTTTTAGAAGTCATCCAAGTTACACGTTTGTGATATTCGATTGCGACTTTTCTCGGTGACGCTTTTTACATCAAGAACCGTTCTCTTTTCCTACTTACGGGTAATGCGAGAATAATCATCACCGCTAACGAGAAAAGTTCCCGAAGTTTTCCTCAAGCTTAGAATGCAGGGGCGATATTCTTTGCAATAAATAGCCACGCTCGTAAGGTCATCAACCGTTTCATACGGTCGTTTTCGTCGGAAAGTTCGCAACTAAAGATACTGAGTTTCCATTTCTTTTTAGTTGATAGAAAAATACCGCTGTCGACGCATAATACAGCACGATCACCGTCTGTTTGTTTATCCGCCAGCGAATAGGAATGAAAAGCGCGAAGCGTTGACAATTCTCTTTCCCCCGGGTCGGCTCTTCGTCGACGTAAAAATATCTAGGATATGAAGGATCGCAAAAATATTCCTAGACAGTCGAATGTACTCACCGGTCGTGTACATAGCGACACCTTTTAGGGTTACTGGCTCGAGAATGGCAGGCTCGCTCCTCCCTTTCGCATTAATCGCGTAGAGAAAAAGTCGATAGCTCCTGCCCGTGGTTAGACCCGCGACTTCGAAAGTCGGCCCGTTGGGACTCGCCGGCACGGTTTTATTTAGCAATATCGGACCCCCGTCCTCGTCAGCCACGACCTCGAGCTGATAACTGTATATCGGAAGACCTCCGTCGTAGCCCTCGAGGCATCGGACCATCAGCCCCGTCCCCGGCTTCGTGCTGAGCTCCTCCATGTCCAGAGGCGCCGACATCTCCGTGGCGGTGCAATTGTGAAGAGCGTACGGACGACCCGCGGCTATGACCTGAAACAAGCAAGCCGTAGATAAAGTGTATTTGCGTTAGCCGAACAATACGTCCTTTATTGCATTACGAACGAAGCGTAGCAGTCCGATTCCCGTCACGTAGGAAAAACGAAGCTCGCGTACCATTCCGTGGAAATTTCTCAGTTAACGCGCGTCGCTCCGGCGCGCGCTTTAATTTCAGCAATACAGTTCAACCGTTACGTTCGCATCGTGTGTTTTTCTCGACTACTTTTTGCCTTTCTTGCAGTCTCCGCGATGGACGGCAAGAGCGAGCGATCTTTCCCGTAGCGGTGGTAAACGATTTTACGCGGAAGACTTTCATATGCACGTCAAATACGNCCCCCCAACCCCCATCCCCTTTCTCCCACATTCTTTGTAGATACCGTCGATCGATCAAAATGAAAATGTATGGAGCACGTGATGCCGTAGCGTACAATGTATGAAATTTATGAAGGAAATAGCCGGCAACATGACGTACGTCGTGTAAATACCGGAATATTTGAAGTATGCAGTATGGATGGTCTAACCACTTTCAGATCGTACAGATCGATACGGTGCCGTGAATCATGGTAGGCGTAACGATCGACGGAACACCGTGTCTCAGCCCTATCAATCGGGAATATCTTTCGATCTTAGATCAAGGTGGAATTCGATATCGCGGCGAACGGTAAACCCGCTTTCAGCGGCGTTCTTCAGCCCACACAGGATCATTACAAATTGTTTTCTCACAGTCCGCTAAGCGATGCAACGAGAGTCGCGTAATTCTTGCGTATGAAATAACACGAATCGCGACGAGCGGAAAATATTCGCGTTGGAATTTAATTAAAAATTGAACATTAATAATTTACAAATTACGTTATTGCGCTTTCTAATAATAAAGAATTTATTGCGTAGACAAAATTTTTCGTCAGGAGAGAAACTCTTTTGCGGAAATGAAGGAAGATTAAATACGTTTGTTTACTTGGATTCAGAAATATCTTACATTCTAATAATTCATGGTATAATAATAGTCGCAGCCGGTGCAGATCCGTCGGTGGCTCAAGATAGATTCACCATAGTTAATTTACTTTCCCTAATGTAGAAGCTTCCAGAAACTTGTTTGTTTTTCGGTCTGACACATTTCATTCGCAATTATCGCATTACGTTTCGTCTTATTAAATCTCACGAGAACTTCACCAGACGTTAATTCAAGGACCAGGTATTCTCTGGTTGTTCGCTTTCGCTGCGCGCTCACTTCGCGCGAGCGAAGCTTTTCATTCTTAATCTTAATCTTTAATTATTAAAAAAGAAATTATCTTTCTTACCGTGAAGAAACAAGATCGACTGTAAGTTAATAGTGAAAAAAAGGGAGAAATAAACCCGTAATTATCGTATCGCACAATAAGGAAAAGGAACGCTGTGCATAGCTTGATAGAAGCGATCGCGTCTATTCGAGTGCGTGCTTGTGCAAGCGTACGTTAAGCTAAAAGCACGAAATTCTGAATCACACGTCGGAAGCCACGTACGTGGCGGTACGTAAAGAAGTGAAAAGGCACAGGCGGAAAAGTACTCGCCTGAAAGAGGCAGGGTGTTCGTTGCTTGCCAACCTGGTTGCTCGCCCAGCATGCCACCGTACCGTAATCCATTTCCGTAGCTGGCGTATAGTTCAGTCTGTATCCGTGAAACTGTTGGTACTCTTTCAGGCTGTCCGCGACGGACGGCGTGCCGGGCGCCGATGCGTGGGAATAACGCGGGTGCGATACCTCCACCAGCTCGCCGGAATTATTGAATGTCCAATGGTAGGTCAATGGAGCCGGATGGCTCTCCACGGAACACACTAACGACACGGTTTCCTGTTTCAAAGCGCCAACCACCACTTCGCCTCTGCCCTCCTTGCACACCGGTGTATCTGTAAACAAAGTCGTCGTACTTCGCCTAACGGGTGGCCTTTCCGCTAACAACGATGGAGTGGCGCAAAGTTTGAAGTGCAGGGTGATTTATTACTCGCTTGTCAAGATTAATGTGTAACAAAGTGTACGTAGTCTACCTTCTTCTTCCGCCTCGAGAAATTTCATTGTCCGGCGATAATAAGCGCAAAAACTGCAGCAGCTGATTAATTTACGTCTTCGGGCGCGTCGCGCCTTCGTGCATACGGACCGTAAATCAATCGACGTTCCGTTCTCGTCGCGAAATAATACTAACGGCGATTTAAATGGATATTCGTTGTTCGGGTTCGTTGCACGATATGATCCCCGTGTACTCGCGCGCGCTCTCTCTCTCACTCGCTCGCTCGATATCCCAACGAGATCCGCGGGTGTCAAACGGAAGAAGAAGCAGCTCGACACCGTTCAACTCGCTGTACGGTCGATCGATAGTCTAATAGGAAATTCCCTTGACATCGGTATTTGCGATAGGCCATGACATGCGGAAATCCCACACGGCGGGAGTGATGATTTACGAGCCGAACCTGGGAATCACGGATAGAGGGAGAGAGAGAAAGGGGAAGAGAGAGACTGGCTGGTTGCAATTTGATACAGTCTATGCGGTACTAAATTAATTGCTAAGATGAGAAGTCGGGGATCCTGTAGCGACGATATATCGACGTATCAGTAAGACGACGCGTCTGTTTACCAAAGGAGGGTATCTTACACAGCGATGCCCTGAGAAGGCTCGTTATTGAAATTGGCGAATAAAAGACGCGACGGTGAACGGATCGTGAACTTTTCTTACCTATTATGGCTAATGCGATATATTCCGAGACGAAAATCGCTCTGCGAAATATCACAAGATACTTTTCTCGAGTGCTTTTCGCGAACCATCGAAGACGGCTGGGTGGTACGTTTCGTTTAAACATGTCTCCGAACCTATCTTTAGTTTATTCATCCCTTCTCCATTTTAGAAAATCATACCTTTATGAAAAATCGCTATTTCACCGTTCCACAACCCGAACGGTTTAGGAAAACGTGACGAAAGACAATATTATGTTTCCCGCTGGCCTGTCCTGCGGAAGGTACAACTTGAATAATTCCACAATTTCGCTGGAATAACCAGACAAATTGTTGGGGCGACATTTGTCTCGCTTGTGAAAAATTCAACGACTATCTTTCCTTCTACTCCGTTCTCCGGCGAAAACAGATTAGGTGTTTCATAATAAATGTTCGAAAAACCAAAAAGTCGACAAGCATGTTTGCGTTAACATTTTAATAATCGATAATCATTTTGCATTGTATTAATTCTATCGGCTCTCGATTCCATTTATTAAGATAGTAATAAAGATTGATTATTAAATATGATCTCAATGCAGGTAAACGTACTTCATCTCAAACATAAAGAAACGAGAGTTCTTATTATTAAAACGACCTATACTTGCGATCAAATAATCACGTTCTTAATGTGAAACAAATTTATGTTAATTTAAACTTCGGTAAATCTAATCATGTAAATTAAATCTTGTGACTTTTGTTCGATCCGGAATGTTTTGCCGGGATTTAAATATATTCAAACATACGTATAAATAACAATGAACGTTGGAAAACTACTAAATTTGTAAATCAAATGCACATCGACCGGAATGCTTCCCGTACTTACACAAGCTGCATCGCCAACGGTTGAACTTGTTCAGAGCTATAGATCTTATGGTAAGAGCAAATTATTATTTTTCTTGAACTTCGTTATTCGAGTTCGTCCGCACCATCCGCAGCCAGATAAAATTTTCCTCGCCGAATTGGAATTTTTCATAATAAATCCGTCTTCATTGCAAGATACAAGGTGACATATGAAATATTACTGATAAAAATGTGACACGATATCACCTCGGCAAATATAGACATTCATCATGCCGCTGAAAAGTGTCGAGCTCAAATTAAATTACGTCAGGAGATACAAAAATATCTGAAAAGAGGAAAAACTAAAAGAAAGAAATAACTAGAAAAAATGGGAATGAAACAAATATGTAGGAGAGAAGGGCTCCTGCGCGCTCGCACGACACGGTTTGTCGCTTAACCGTATGACGTACTATGTAACATGTGTGTACACACACACACACACACACACACATACATATATATATATATATATAATACGTATTGCAATGCGATCGCGGACAGTTCAGGATACGCGGGAAGAGATTCGACGTCATCCGGTCAGCGCGCGAGGTTTAAAACGTTAGGACAGATCCGGCCGCGAAAGTGCACGCGCGCGCTCGGTCTCCTTTAGTTACATGCGCGGCCCGCCGTACTACTACGTCTGCTCCGGCCTAGCTTAGCACATTGCCAGCCTGCGTTCACCCACACATGAATATTCAGCTATACGCTTTACATATACTGAATATGCATCGCAGTCCTTCCTTCCCTCTTAGGTCATTTACAAGATGCAGATACCGCCAGCCTAGCGCCGGGGGCACACCGACCATTCTAATAGAATAACCCGCGTTCCGTGTTTCACAGAAAACTATACACCCTATCTCCCACGCTCCTCCTTCCCTTTATTACCACTTCCCCCCCTTCCAGTCTGTCCCCCGTCGTACCCATCGCTCCCGTTTTCCCCGTCTCGTTCTCGGCTCGACCGTCAAGTTCGTTTCTCGTGCGTTCGACAAACGCGCACTTCGCCTCTGTGCACACTGCCGAGTTGCTTACCATCGATTAAGTAATTATCGAGGAAGCAGCGAGATGTTGGAGGGGGAGAGAAACTGACGCCGCGTTACGAAGGACATACGCTCTAACGCTATTATGGCATTGTTTACCCTCCCCCGCCAATTTCCGCAGGCGCGTGCCAGATAATTCGGCTGTTGTACGAAGACTCGTTGATGATATGCGCGTGCTTCCAACTTACACATTATCTGAAGAGACACTTCGTTACTTTCGGTCCTGCCTTCGCTGTTCGCCGCGAGACAGGTGTAACGGCCGGCGGAGTAGCGGGTCAAGCTTTGCAGGACCAACGAATGATCGCTGAGGACCACCCCGGCGGTGGCGTTGTTCTTCAGCTCTTTGCCCTGAAAAACGTACGTACAACTCGCTGTTACCGCGGCACACGTGTCACGTGCAGGAATTAGCCGTCCTTCCGTTGTAATTATAACGTAATACGCGCGCGCGCGCGCGTTTTCATCGCCGTAAGGATGTAAGGCGCACGTGCGCGCACGCGTGATGAGAAATACATGCGCGAAATAGTAATAAACGCGAGTTATCTAACGGCTGGCTAATTAAATTTGCATGAGACCGGCTGGAAAATAAATGTACAGGTGCGGCGACAGACGGTGTGGAAATCTGCCGTGAAATGTTTCGTCGCGGTATCGTGATGGACACGCGAGTGCTCGTGTGATACTTACGTCTTTGAACCAAGCGAGCTTGTACACCTTCGGATTCGCCCTCATTTTGCACTCGAAGTACACGTCGTCGCCCTCCTTGATATCGTCCGGATTCAGAGTCTCGCCCATTCTTAAGTTGACCACCGGCTGGTATTGCACGTCGAGCCGCCACTTATCCTCCAACGCGCTGTCAGGTATAGCGGGATTTTCCACACGGCACGTCAAATATTTACCGTCGTCCTCTATAGTTGGCACGAAGCTCAGGATACTCAGGCTCTGATTGTTCCCATTGTTCTCGCGCGCATACTGCAATTAAACACAGCGCACCTCCGTGCGAAATTAATTGGGTTTCGAGATTTCGCGGTATGTGCCGGTGTTTGAATGTGACCAGTCTGCCGATCGCGCGACGTTAGTATCGTCTTGTTTTCTTTGCGCTTGCGATCGCGTATTCGCGTGATTCAAGGTCTGCCTCCCGTATTTCCCGCGCGTCTTCAACGAAAGTTGAAAGCACCGTTCTCATTTTTCACGCGGCGTCGCGCGTTCGCTGCTAATATTAATTTAACATCGTTGGGAGCCGTTAGGCCAAAAGCGATGCCGAAATAAAAGAGAGAGAGAGGGGGGGGGGGGAAATTAACGGTCTTCTTTTTTTCCAAGATTTATGATGCTTAGAGGAGCGACGGAAAATGGAGGTCGGAGCGAGTGCGGGTCACATCGCCCCGACGGACGCTTCCTCTCTCCATCACGGTCCCTCCCGCTTTCACGATGTCATTTTAATGATAGCACCATCGGGCATATATATCGGAAAAGCCGCGTATCCGCATCAGTATCGCGAATACGATGAATGGAAGTAATGGTTCGTCAGGATGAATGTGGCATCGCTGCCTCTCGCTCTCTTATACACCTCTACCCATCATTGCCTCACTCACTCACTCACTATTTCTCCCGTTCTCTCTTTCTCTATCTCTCTAGCGTTTTTTTTTCTTTTTTTTGTAAGCTTTGCCGCGTTGCACTTTTGGTGCGCCTCGGTGCAACGCGCGATCGAATTTTCCGATAAAACCCTCCGGACAGTCCGACACACGGGTATCGATATATCGCGCAGGTAGATCGTACGCGGACTGACGTGTTACGGTCGTACACTGTTCGCAAACGCCGACCAAATGTTACCGGCGTGGTATTCCGCTTTCTAAGAGAACGTCGCGCGGATGTGTGACAGATAAACGTTTTAATCAATCTATCTCGCGCCGCGTCTCGAAGCTCAAACGTCGCGTAAATGCGTTTCCGTCTCGATCGCTCTCGAGTCCGCCTTCCTCTCGTAACTGCCTGTACTTCGCGACGAACATAAAGCCGCGAAACGTATAAACGCGTGTAGCGAAAAACACCAAGTTCGCGAATGACAGATGCGCGCGATTTCTCAGCGTCGTGACAAGATCGCGGTGTTCAGAGTGAAAAAAAAAAGGGAAAAAACATTTTTTATTCCCGCCCGCGTCACGCGGTAGCGATGTTCTCTCGTGGAATTTGCGTTTGTCCGGCATTTTCAATCTGGAATGTATTAAAAAGTCCGCGACGGGCAAACGTATTTATCCAAGTAATAACATGAAAAAATTCGTAATACAACGTTTTGTGGAGTAATCTCGATGCTGTCGTCGCTGTATACGCGATACTAGAACGTGGCGCGCGCGCGAGTGCTTGAAACATTTTCGCTCGTGGATGATCACGAAATAATGGCGCAGTAAAAATGTATGGAATAAGCGTAAAACGGTAATGCCGTTCTGTCACCGTAAAATCCTGATACATTAAAATGTAGAGTACTCTCACAAGTGAGGTACCGCTGATGCGCTTTTACGCACGTGAAATTAGCGATTTATGCGACATAAAATTCGCACGATCCGCGTTTTGACGAATTCGCGATGCGATCGACGCTCTTGCGATCTATTCCCGCGTGTATAGACTATGCAAGCCGCGAAAGGGTGAACACACGACGCCTTCGTGAGAGACGGCCGCGACAAAGTTGCTTTTCAAAATAAACGACAGTTACATTCAGGGGGAGACATTTTAAAAATTTAACATTTCCGAACATTACTGAAACATCTCTCCAGATGCCACGGACAGTGGTAGGGCGCATCTACGTCGAAAATAGGAAAAGAAAGTTAAACCTTGAAAGTTTATCAAGCTGGGGATCCAGTGGATCGTTCGCGAACTTCCGTGCTCTCTCTCTCTCTCTCTCTCTCTTTGCGGAGTGAAGGTGTCGGGGATCGAGGCGTTGGGAGACGAGCGGCGGACGAAAAAGGAGGGCGCGCCCGCGCGAGAAGTCGCGCGCAAGAAAAACGAAATAACTGCATCGTCCTAACTTCTGGACGAATCGTCGTAAACTGCGAGAAGTTGCGGGACGTCGATTTCAGGAATTTTCTCTCCGAATTGTGCGGCGTACTTCAGCGATGCTCCCACCTAACCGTTTTCGGTGCTCGACGACACGAATGTTCACATCCGACCGATGAGACGTTCCGATAAAAACACTCGGCGCAACTTTCCTGAACTAGGACTTTCAGAAGGATGACTCGCGGATCAACCACGCATTCTCTCTCTCTCTCTCTCTTTCTCTTTCATGTGAGCGGTTTTGCCGAATTTCTCGGCGAGAAATCGAATGGAACGCGAAACTCGCTTGTGAAAATACATACGGACTATGTGCATACATAGGTACTCATGTCGATCCACTTTACTACATACCATCGTAATCTTCGCGCGTTCGACTATATATCATTCTGGCAAAACCGGCATAACGGAAAGCATCATTTCGTATTATAATGGAATAAGCTTTTTTCACTCGAGAGTAACAATCGGGCGCTCGTTTGGATGGCGCTTTACAGCGCGAAGTGGGAAAGGCATTTGTATTGAGAGTCCGACGCTTGAATTTACTCACCCTCAATTTTACTTGCGTCGTTTTATAACAAGGACATTATAAATTTGCTTCCGTCGCCGGAAAGTTAGAAACCGAGTGTCGACGTTTAACATCTTCAAATAGAGTCCGGGAGAAACTTTTTATTAAGGAGGTAAGAATGTTTGCTCCTCGTCGCATTTAAATGACACGGCTTTCTTCTTCAGAGCGACTTCCATTTCCGTTTTACGGTACAATTTCACCACATAGGTGATTTACATGCGACATGTATGTGTATGTAGAAAACTTACGTTCTGAACCATCTTCTTGATCGGCTTGTTTGCCTTCCACCATGTGATCATTGCCTCCGGCCGTGAACCACTCGTACGACATTCCACGTCGTAATTTTTGTTGGCCGAGACTCGCGCTTCCTTCGTCAGGATTTGAACTACCAATGGCTTTACTGTAACAGTAAAATTTCGATTGTTTTCTTCTTCTTTTCGTATAATTCGGTAGGTTGTTGATTTTATTCCCTTTTCTTAGATTCTTTCATTAAAAGGAAAAAGACGCTTAGATTTCTCCAGGTAAGATGAAAAATTGCCATTTAACAAAAAACATATGCGTCGGATATATACATTATATAAGGGCGCATCTCATAATTTATGTTTCTCGGTCTTTGTTGTATCGTTTAGAAAGTACGTATGTTGCAAAGATAAATAAAGTTCTATCGTTAAGCATCTTCCTCGTGCATAACTGAGTCCTTAATTTAATCAGCTGTATGCGCATCGCCACCGTTTCGAAGTTGTCCCCTAGCGAACGAAATGGAGAGAACGGCGCGCTATTACTACGGAAAACGGCGGCGCCGTGCAGGGAAAAATCCGGGAATAAGATTAAACGGTCGGGATAACGACGAAACCGGAGTGTCTAATTCCACGGGTAGCTGCGGAACGTATTCGCAAAATCATTCCGAGATTTCCTCGTCTGGCGACGAACCGAACGACGTTGTTTCGGAACGGCTTCGCGAGCGACGAAACGGATTAGAGAACGTCGTGGTCCGTCTCGTCGGGGACCGCGCGAAACCAGCGGTTAAAACTCTGCTCTTTGCACGACACGGTGATAAATTTTAATTATTTAATTCTCAGATTAAGAGAGAGAAAGACAGACAGACAGAGAGGGTCCACGCCGTATCCTGGAGCCGTTCCACAATCATCGCGGAAAATCTCCAAAAAGACGAGCGTACCGTCTTAAAAGGCGAGTAGTCGCTTTTGTCGTCCGTTCTTTACCGTCGTACTTCCTATCGAGATACTTTTGCGCGCCCGTAGAACACTCTAACTACCCATTCTTGCCTCGCAAAACTCGATCGTAATACCTGCCCATAGTTACTTCTTCGTAATTGGCCCCTCAAGCACCAACTCTTCTTCGTGTCTACCAGTCGTTATGACTATTTTAAGATCCACTTTAGGGCCGAGAGATTCGCAATCCGCCGTATTCAGAAATAGCGTCCAACAGTCTCCGTAATCTTGATACTACCGCGATACGGAATAGCACGTTTTCTGACCGTGGTGAATTCCCCGTGTGCAAAAATGCGAGCGTGTTCCCGTTGATGGCCAATATCCGTTTCCGATTCCAATTTGCGTTAGCGGTCCATATTTCACGTGGCTGTGATTTAGAAATTTAGTCGGACGTCTACGTATTCGTCACGATTGCGCGCTACGGTTTTCCAACAAATGCGCGCGAGTTACGAGAGAGAGATTGATGAATCATTAACGTAATTACTCCGAACGATTTATTCCCCGAACGAAATTATTCCGCAGCGCGCTTTTAACCTTTCACGCTGAGGCTTCATTACTTCCCACACACGGGACCGTCCTTGACCCTAATATCACGACGTGACCAATTCGACTTTGCCATGTCCACTAATGAGAGAACGTAATTCTATGATTGCAAAATTACCTCACGCTTCGCGTGCAAACTCATGCATACATCTTAATGGGTTCGCGCCTTGTCGCGCCATATTTCCGTATCGATCTAGAACGATCGAGGAGCGTACTTTGCCGGCGACAAAGGCGGCTCTCGGGCCATTCGTAATATCCACGCTGAGTGTCGCGTGGTCGTCCTCGTAAATCCCAGCGCACGCTTATGCGCCGTCGCGACCAGCCACTCATACAACCCCTAATTGCCATTAGTCGGTGGCCACTTCTCTGAAATTGGTTCCTTCGTTCCTCTCTGCACCCTCTTCCCGACAAACTCACCCGCAAACACCGCGAGGGCGTGCATACAGACACGTATACGCGCATACTTAAAGTCAGAGTTTGACGGCCCTCGCCGCTCTGCTCCTGCCATATATTTGCGCTCGTAGGAACCTTCCTTCCTTCGGATAATCAAGCTTCGCGTCCGTTCATCCGACGATCGAGGATCTATTTTGTCGGCTTGAATACTACCGATAACGCGATCTATTGTGGAAGCCGCTTTGTTGCGCGCGTTCGATATTATCCGCTTGGAGCAGACGTCTCTCTTATTGACGGCGTCTCGGCAAAGATTAGGCTTTAATTAAAACATGTCGACTGCGATTCGACGGTAGCGCGGCGTAGCGCTGAAATACTAGTGTGGAAAAGGGGTCCGATAGCGGCGCGAGTTGTATCGACGGGGGCCATCATTCGATGCGCCGCCGGGCATCGCGTGTACGTCGATCGTGATCGCGCCTTACGGTTCCTAAGGGACGAGGGAGGAAAGATTGTATCTATTTTTGACGTTCAATTAGAACAAAGGCACGCAACGTCGGCGCTGTTGCTCGGAAGAACAACCGGGACCGGTTGATTACCGCCACGATATCTGCGGACAATCGAGACATTCGTGGCTCTGCCGTCGTTCGTAATTCAGCGATTGCCGACAAGTTTGACAAATTGTTCCGCTCTGCCAGAGTCGCGTTGAACACTATACGGCTCGCATGCCCGATCTCTTCGCGAAATGGCTCATTAATATGCGATCGCCGATCCCCTCTGCGATCGTCTCGTCACGTTTGAAACATTTACAACGGCACACGTTCTGTAAAAGCGCCCAGGACGACGCAGGATGTTGCCGATCATTGGCTGAAGAAACCACTGAAATTTTACGTCCGATGTATGTTCATCGCTAGCGGGATGAAAAGCACCGCGCGCTGATTAAAGCAAACCAGTTGCCTGGCGGCGTAATTCAGAGGGAAAGAGAGCGCGTGCGAACGCGCACTGTTTCTCCTTGGTGAACGCGCGCAGAGAACCCCCCCNCCCCCCCCTCCCACTCATTTTATCGTTCAACCGTAATGTATATCCATCAGGTTTTACTCGTATATTATCGACGCGCCGCGCTGCGGCGCGATGCCATTTGCGTATGCCGGCGCGTCGGGGAACAACAAGCGCCGCCTGTGAATTAAACGCTCGCTGCCTTAATGGTTTCACGCGTGTTTGCCGTAGCGTTTATCGTTTGTTCGAATAATTCCCTATGAGTCGACGCCCCCGGGTCCGGCGCACTTATCAAACCCGACTTCGCACCTTCCCATTTATTTCCAGGCGGTTGAACGGCCACCTGCTCCGTCGAAAAGCGCGGCGCGACTCTCGGCGGTGGCGCCGCAGCCGACCTGAAATCAATGCTCGGGCGAAGTCGACGACGAAAAACACATGGCCCGCTGGCGACGAGGAATCTCTCTCTCTCCCCCCCTCGATGGTCTTATCGCTATCAGGGAGCTACGTCGAGATAGCTCCCTGATGAATGACGATGATGTTCCGCGCGGCTCCGCTGGGACGGTTATTAATTATTATCAAACGAACAGTCCCGTCGCGCATGACCGAGCGCGAATAAACGTAGGAGCGCGTGGAAAGTGGCCGCCTGCGTGCGTGCGTACGAGCGTACCTGGTGTGCGAGCCGTTGAGCGCACGGACCGGATGCAAATTAGCGCAATTGCAATTGGCAAGTCTAGCGAGCCATCGCCACATTGGCGCTGACTTTAATTCTTAACTGGCGGCACGCGGTATGAATCGCCGAGCGCGGAAACAGCGCCGCTGTTTGTTTCGCCCTCGGAAAAAATTTACGAACAAAGGGCATTTGCATGCCGCGATACGGCGTCGCGCGCCAGACCGCTCCGAGGACCTCCGTCACGCCAGTCGCGTCACGCATCTCGTGCCTGCTCGTTCGTTTTCTTTTCCGTTTCTTTCCTTTTCTTCTTACTTCCGATAATTTTTCATTATCGAATTTTATCGGAGAGAACGGCGGGTGGTACATTAATGTGTGCATAAAATATCGCACAGTATGCGAGACCTTTCCTCGCGTACCCTTTGATCCATAGAGTCTGTACTCGTTATTGTAAAACGAACATATATCTTTGAATGTTAACGGGAGGGTTCGTGCAGGTTCGAATGGCGAACGCGAAAGGTTCGATCGCGGCGAAGAATAATTTATCGTTCGAAAACATTTAATATTTCACGAAAATTTCCATTTGATTTATGCGGCGGCAATTAAGAATGAATTGATACGCACTCGAGCACGCAGGAACGTGGGCACGCATGCTTATTATTATTTGTTCTATCGGACGAATTCGGCGCATACATCGCGCGATGTATAAATTAATAGGCATCACCCGCGGGAGTGTACGAAATTATTCGCATGCGAGAGTATGCCCGCGTGTACTGTACTATCTGGTTATATATGGCCGGTAGGATTGCTTGTCCGCGAACTATCACCCCGTATATAGGATGTCCTGAAACTATCGTACGATACTTTAACAGCATATTCCAGGGCTATAGAATATGCCGATATTTTCAATATCCTCGTACGTCAAAAATCCACACGTACGTGTTGCGTCAAAAGTCGCGCGATTTGTGGTACGCTGCACGCTCGAGTGCATGTAGGATCATAACAATCCTCGACACGAGTGAATGCAGACATCATATTACATTGCTCATTATGTTCGACTTTGTTATATTATGCAAAGTTGACGTAAAAAGAATTCACTTACGCTGCGATTATCACGCCGGAATTATCCTGAGTGATGAAAGCAACGTAAAATTTGAAAGGTGCGAATATCAAGAGTTTCATTTTTATTAAATTTGTGAGGAAACGAATGTGAGATCGGTGCATCCGCAATTGTGATTCCTATAGACTGAGAAATTACTGCAGTAAATTAGGAAAATTATTTCCTACTTCGAATTTGACGGAAAGTTTACGTCGAAGATCGCGCGACCTCTAGTAGGACAACGTCGTGTGTGTATACATGTGTATGCGAAACGCTCACCATCATAACAATTTTAGATGCGCGAGAGTAAACACGTCAGACGGCACCATCCATTCTTCTCGATTTTCTTAAATTAATCGGGTTTAATCGTTTGTTATAATGTAAAACGATGAATCACGCTATTCGCGCTGCGATCGTCGTTCCGGGATTATCGTCAGCACTGTGCTAACAATGTAACTTTCTTAACTCTAACTTTCTTTCTTCGAATCTACAATTATTATCTCTAATCGAGAAAATTGTTTTTACTTCAGACCTGATAGAGTTCACAGTCGCACGACAGATGCAGGTCCGAAGGACGCAGCTGATGCAGACGCAGTACCGAAAGAGCCGGTTCGGGCCGAGCAGAGTCGGCTCAAAGGTAAGTTCACGCTATCCTTGCTACGTGACTTCGCGATCAAAAGCCGAGATATAGTTATCAAAATGATTCGAATTATGACCACGAAAGGTTAATTCACTCGTATCTCTACGCATACTTATACGTTTTAAATCGAATCCCTAAATCTAACCGGTGAAATCACTGTTTGTTTTAGATCTGAATAGCGAAATATGACCGGCTTTGAGTTCCGGATTATTCGGTGAGTGAGAAAAACAGATTTATATAAAGATTTGGGATGTGTTAGTAGGTAGCCATTGTTTCGAAGATATCGTTGGAATCAACGCAATTTGCCTGTAGATTTCTGTTCATGTATGTGTATGAGTTATTGAAACAAATAAACTGCTTAAAATAATCAAAGGATCGTTTTTCCAAATGCTCATATCATCTTTAGTAGATATTTAAAATGTCAAATATTTTTTCCTCAGCATCTAATTTTAATATATATTTTTATGAAAAATTTATTAATCTAATATTTTAATCATTCACTCTTTACTACTAATATTCAATTCAAATTATATAATTAATCGATTGACCTATTTATTTATTCAGTACGATCCTTTAATTATTTCGAACTATATACAGTGCGCGTTGCCGAATTGCGGCACATTTGCGGAACACAAGATTACTTCGTTCGCGTTGGTAAATTTTACGATCAACGCGATTGACTTTTAATCTCTATGTTTTTATACCTTTCATATATATATATATATATATATATATATATATATGTATATTTATATATATATATAGTTATGACGTAATTATTTCGCATGCGGATTTAATTTCACGGTGTTTATTATCGATATTTTTGCATGCTATTCGAGTCACGAATATGTTGAAATGTTATTATAACGCGTCGTGAATTTTCGAAACGAGAAATGAGAGACCTATTTGTCGGAAAATCGAGTAAACGAGATATTGCCTTTGTTATTTTCGTTTTCGTGCGTTAAAGACATTACTTATCTCAGTTTGCTATTATTTAGAATTCACAGTTTGCAAATATATTTCTGATTTGCCGATATTAATCGTATCGCAATATATTTATCTCAGTATCTTAAAAATTCCAATTTTGCGTTAAATTAACCCGTAAATTTCGTTTCGAAATAAATCGTTATAATGTAAATGTTAGTCGCGAGTGAAATACAGTGAAGTGAAGCGCAATCAACGTGGGACGACGCAGGACGACGAAGACTGGACGCTGCGGAATTCCGGATACCGAGCGGAGACGGTCCGGGGTGCAGCGGCTGGTTTCATCGGTTGACCCGGCTGGACATCGGTCGAGTTCATCGCGAAATGGTGAGTGTGGAAATTCAACACCCACAGAGTGGAATATTATATATAGTGCACGCGTAGGACCGTAGAGAGCGTAAATTGCGTTGATTTCCAGCGAATAGCGTAGTCGTAGTTATACACTTGCACGTTCATTTTTTAAAAGAACAATATCATTCCGTGTCTCGAAATGAGAGAAATTAGTGATTTATATGCACAAATATAAGCGAGAGACGTCAATATTATACCAAAATTGTAATATGAAAAAGCACGTCGGTTAAAAGCGTAAAAACATAAAACTCTCTTTGCGTTCTCGTATTAAAGAAAGAGGACAGATTTATGATCCTTATGATGATAACATATATTTGATCCTTAAAAAGCACTTATGGTTCAGACGCAAAGGGTTATACATATATATATATATATATATATATAAAATTTTACCGCGACGCGCTTGCTGTGGCGAGCTAAGGATTAATTTCTAATAAGATCGGTGGTGCACGCAGAGCGACCGGTGTCCCTATTTGATGTCACTTTCGATACTGCTATTAGCCGTACTATTAAGCAAAGTTGGCGTGCGATTCGTATCGCGCGTGTATTTAATGCGCTCCTAAGCCAGGCGGACAAAATAGCCAGGTAGGTCTCCCCTACGCACAGAAACGGCAAATCCACGCACGCACCAGACGCACGCAGCCATTCACGCGTGTGTCAAGTGTCACCGGCGTGGTAGTAAGATGCGATCGGTGTAGATCAATCAGCCATGAATTAACGCCTCTTGCAGCTCCGTCGAGTACTAATGCTTTTACGCGTGTTTACATTAACGTTATCGCCGGGTTCGAATAGTTTCTCGCCATCCTTCTCCCTCCCTCTCTCTCTATCCCCGTGTAGCTCCTCATACCCCGTTCCTCTGGTGTGGAACGACGTTACTGGGTCATTACAAGTCGAACCCTCACCAGTCACCGCTTACACGATATCTCAGCGCACCCAAGTACCTTCTTACGTACGTACACCCACCCTCGCGCGTACACGGGCTTTAGCAATAAACGTGCACACGCGTATACCCGCGAGCGTTCTCGTCACATCTATCGACCGGCAACAACGCTCAAACACGGACGCGCTGTCGCACGCCAAGTGCTCACGGGGAAACACGGAATCGAAGCTGCGGGCCAGGAGGCACGCGATTCACTGATCCGTCTTGCGAGAGGCGTTACCGTTATCTCCATCGGCCAATCTCGGCCGGTCGACTAATAGGTTCAGCACGTGAATACCCTGGCCCGACCAGGACCACGTGAAAAGGCCTTCGGTGCATGTCTCTCTGTGACCGTTGGTGCGATTCGCCAGCCGTGCACGAGAGAGCAGCCTAAAACTGGCCGCGGAACAAAGAGAAGTATCGACCTGTTAGCGCCGCTTCCCGCGCGCGATGCCGTTCTCGAACTCATTTTCTTACGTAACGTCGCGCTCCGTCGATATTCCGACATTCGGATATTCGGCGCGATAAATGGGCCGAAAACGACGAATGTGGAGTGAGAAATGTCGTATGTGACAATTATAACTCGTAGCGCGGCTTTTACCCCGATCATGTGTTAGCGAGAGAGCGTCGGACGTCGGCGACGCGATCGTCAGCGCGAATAGAATGAGACAGCCGTCGGGGAAGATACCGTTCTTAGATAGGAAAAATACGTGGAACGCGTTTAAACGTTTTTCCCGGGTAGAACGCATCAACCTGTCGGTCGCTTCGCGTTTATCCCAATGCGCAAATGGAGAACTCTCGTACCTCGTTATGCACGCAATAATTGCGTACTTACATTAATGGTTACACGGAACTACGTATGTGCGGCACTTTACATCCGTTGGGCACGTTTATGCTTAACGACCGAGCTATATATGTAACGCAAAATATGAGAAAACGTAAACAGCAGTTTGCCGTGCGAGATAACATCGGAAATAATAATGTAACGCAGAGGTCAACGATGGTTGCAGCAATTTTGTACACAATTGCGTTTTTGCGCCGCTTTCGAAATTTCATATCGTATCGATTCGCGCGCGCTCGCGAACGAGACAGACGAGTCTCGCGTATGGATTTTTCGAAGCGAACCGAATTGGCGTTTCCCGACGGACCGCGCGATTCCTAATTATGCAATCATCTTAGAGTCACGAAGAAACTGCACGAGAGTATGCAACTCTGGGAAGATTGACAAATCAGGCCGTGTAAATGGAACATTTTTTCCCGATCGTCGATCGATATATGTATATCGAGGTAATCGGAGGTCCGTTTCAAACAGCCCCGAAGGCCATCACCTTTCTCGCGAAACGGCGGCGAACGTGCTGACTAAGCGCTAATTCTCGCCCGTGACACGTGACAACGAAACTTTTCCACCCTCTTGTTTACGGACGAAGCAGGTACTTCGCGATGCGCTATTTACGAGAACCACCTGGTTGACTTGGTAGCGGGATGAACGAGTGTCGGACGCGTCGTCAGTAAGAATTCGCGAAGACCTATTTTCACGTAGCGCGCCGGGAGTCGTTCAACTAACGGGGCGCGTCATTACGACGAGCGAAATCGCCGCGCGTCGTCACGAGGACGCGACACTTGACGTTCGTCGTGCGAAAAAGCCCCGCGATTATAACGATTGCAGAGGGGAAGGACGCAGGGGGAATGCGTACGTGGATGGCCGGTGACTTACGATTCACGTCGAGGATGAGCACTTTGGTTTGCGGTTGCACCAGATTCGTGTTGCTCGCCTGACAGATCAACCTCGCCTTGTGATGCTGTCGCCCGATTTTAGGATACGCCAAGTGGTTAACCGTAGCCCCGGTCTCGGCGTTGTAGTGATAGGACTCGTCTATCACGTTGTTGTCGAGGTACCACGTCAGCTTCGGGAGCGGCTTGCCACCTTTAACCTCGCAAATCAGGTTCACGTCGCTCCCCTCGTTGTACGGCTTCTCGATGCTCCAAGCGTTCCTCTTCTCATCCAATATTATCGGCTTCGACGGAGGCACTGTGCGAACAGCATGCGTCGTTAGAACGGCGCGGATGTTAATCGATCGTCGAGCGAGCGAACGAACGACAGACAGACGGGGGACAGTCGGCGTACGTGAGAGCAATGTGTGTGCGCGCGGTCGGTGCGGTGGAATCCGAGCGGGGGGTTAACTTGCTACGTTGTAGCGGAATTAACTGTTATAACAGTCCCAAAACAGGTCGTAGTTACGAAGTATAGATAACCGCGGCAGCGGCTCAATTTGCGAAGCAAACCGCGGCTTACGCCGAGATTAATTTATGCGCCGGCAAGTGCCGAGAGTTCATAAGTCAACGCTCACGAAACGTATCGAGAGGAAATGTATCGATGACCGAATGGGGCTGGACGGCGACGAGAACTCGAATCGATCCGCGTTAAGCACACGCGTCGCGGAAGCGAACGCGCTTACTACGTTAGGATGACTAATTCTTGATCAGCCAATTACGGAATATCAGTCTTAAAAATCGGCACGACCAAAAACGGGACTTTTAATAAAAGATAAATAAATTAGATAAACGTAAGTAAGAATAAGTAAACGTAGGTGAGTGAAATAATAATTCATTGTTCATCATCGAGATCAAGTGATCAACTGAACGTAATTCCCTATTGCGTTTTAATATAAATAATCATTAATTTGTATATAAAAACCGAGTAGTAAAATTCTTGAAATAAAATCAAAGAACATAATCAACGGAACGTAACTTTTTATATTATGTTTTAATATAAGTAATAATTATGTCTACAATTAGACAGATATTGTTGAAATACAGTGATAAAATAAAATGATAAAATAAGTGAGAAATCGGGGCGAATGGCGCTTAAGATTCTGTCGGGACGGTTGGTCACCTTATTTGCGACACACACGGGACGAGATCGAAGGTGCTCGTTCGCACACTCGACGCGACCGCCATTATCACGCCTGATCAAAAGAGCCGATTTTAATTGTCTCACGATCGCCGGCTTGATCGAGTTCGATCGCAGAGCGGGGAAAACAATGCGACTCACCTATAACGGTTAGGTTCATCTTTTGTTTCCGCGTCGGCGAGTTTCTAAAGTCCACCCGGCACCGATAGATCCCTTCGTCTTTGCTCTCCAGCCGATCGATGCTGAGGTGTGCTGGATTCGTCGCCGTGATAAAAAAAGCTCTTGGTCCCAATGCCTTGGGCGACGACCAGAGATGGGCGTTGTTGAACTGCCGGCGGCCGCGGACGTCAAAGCTGCAACAATCGATCGATTCCTTCGCTCAGCTGCGACGAACACGTCGGTTCTTCGCCGATCGTTGCGCGCGAAACGCGATACAATTAATTAATGCCGCATCGTTGAAATCATCGACGCCCGGCGTATCGGTGCGATATGTAAAGTTGCAACGTTTCTCTCTCGCTAATAGACATAGCGCGCTGAAACGACCGCCGATAGAATACGCATACACTGTAATAAGAGTCAATTTGTCGCGGATAATTACCACTTTGCTCGTTATTCATGTATCAAAAACTGTGCCAATTTAATCATCCCATAATTTACGACATAATTGCAGCATGTCAATTAAAATAGCACACTGACGTCGTTATTGAAAGCTTGTAATTGCATTAATTACAGTTGCATAAATGATGAATGTGTATTCCTGGCTACTTGCGAGCGGACGCGCAACATCGTTTCGGAATTTCTAGCCTGTTACAGATTTGCAGGCGCGCGCGAGCGAGCCTCTCTGCAAAATCGTATCGAGTAAATTACGATCGACGCAATTTGTACGCGTTCGTAATTTTGCGATATCTTAAACGCATCTGATCTCGCAGAATCCCCGTTTTCGTATTTGAATATGCGGCAAATGTTTCGTAAACGCGAGTAAGACGGGAGGGTTAAATTCGTTCTCAGCTACCAAAGTTCAAGCATACGCGTCTTTATCCCGGAGCGATGAAATCGCGCGGGCGCGATTCGCTCGGTGCTACGGGCGAGTCTATGTACGGAGAATCACCTGGGGAGCCATCCCCAGTGCGTGATTGCATATTAAGCATCCGCGGTGTGCTAGGATGGAGACAAAGGGAGACGGATTAGAGGGGGGGGGGGATATATAAGAGAGCCCGCGCGGGACAGAAAGAAGAGAGGGTAACTCGGGGGAGAGCGAGCGCGGAGCCCGTCGGTCGCTCCTCGCGAGCGACTAAAAGTTAAATTGCGTTCCGCGACTGCACGGGAGTTCGGATTTTCGCTCGTGACTGAGTATTCCCAAAGCTATCCCCCGGCTCTCACGCTTGCTTCCGCGGCATTGACGTTGAAATACGATTTAATTCTTCCACTTCGCACTTCCAGCAGACGAGCCGGAGCGCTTCCGTGACGCGCCTCCGACGCTGCCCGTCCGCCCGCTCGCCTCGTCGACAGGCCAGCGCGGATAGGGCAGCCCTCGAAGCAGTCGAGTACACGTACCCGACCTCGTCGCCCCGGCACGAACCAGCCGCGGATATAACACGTTCGACCGACTTTCCTCGCGAGCGATAACCCTGAAAAGCGATTTTCCCCATATCGGTCTTCCGCCGACTTCGAGACGTTCATCGACGCGGAGCGACTCTCAAGATCGATCGGTCGCCTATCCTCCCGACTCGTCGATCACGACTTGAGAGGCTGATTCGTCGGGACTTTCCGGAAAAGCGTCGCCTACAGGCGTTTCTTCGTTATCTTGGGAGATTGCCGCACGGATAAGCCGGTGTGTATGTGTGTGTATGTTACTTTTTTACGCGGGAATCATCCGAGAGCGGGGTAGTTATATCGAGGCGTGCGAGAGCGCACGGACGAGCGTCGTCTCAATTATCGCCCGATAAAGCGCGAGTAGAACGATTAACGTTGAGGCTGGACACGCATTATCGCGTGCTAGCGGGGAATACGATACCTAATGAAGACGCGAAATTAATTCCTTTGATAAAAAATTGTACAAACTTTCGAGTTGTCGAGGTGTTTCAGGCAACACCCGTCGTCTCCGCGAGCGAGCCTGTCTTTCGTTGCCTTCTATTTAGCCGCTACTTTCTACCGCACCCGGCGCGCTGCTCGCTAAGAAACCGATCACTTTAAAAGTCTCACGCGAGGAAAGAAATTTACCGGGCTGCCTTGGCGGGTCTAAGTATCTTGAAACTTTCTCGGGAGAAAACGTAGAATGGAATTGAGTAGATTCGATTTTGCGAAGTGTTATCTATTAAAGTAAAATGCGCAGGCCGCCGAAGAGCTTGTAAATATTACACCGAGTTTCTCGCGATCAGGACGCCTTCGTCGGGCTCGATATTATCGAGTACTGTTAAAACACGTAGAGCTGGTGTGTGTGTGTGCGCGTATATATGTATGAGCGGTGCGCGTATAATCGCGATCAAATATCCATATCGTGGTGAACACGGACGATCGTTGGACTTAATCGAAAATCTATATAAGCCCCGGACGCGATATCGAAATGACGTAGAGCGGAAAAATTCTCTCCCGAGGGTCGTGAATAATCGCGAACCGGTGATATTAATATGATTAAGCAAAGAAGTGATCGTGAGAAATCCGGTATTTGCGAGACGGCGCTGTTCGCTCTTCTCGAACGAGCGACAGCTCGGCAGAATCTTGATGACACGGCGTATACGTATCACGTAAGTTTTACCCCTATCGCGCGAACAAGACACTGAATATATAAAGAAGGCACGAGAGATCCCTCCGAGAGAGGGACTATGTGCGATCATAGCCGCGTAGTCCCGCAGTTTCCTTTCCTTAACTGTCTGGCGTTCGTACGATAAGCGGGCACGATGTCACGCAATAAATATTTTACTGCGAGAGGTCCCGCGAAGGGAGGAGACCGGGGGTACGCGCGCGAGAACGGCTGGCTGGGGGTGACCGGGGGGTGAGACGCTTTAGTACGACGGCCGCCTTTAAATTTAAAGTTCCTCGTCGTGGCAAGGATTAAACTGACTTTACAACAAGCGACGACCTCGCTCGGTGGTCTTTTCCCCTTCGCATCTCTTCGCAGACGCTCCCCGCCCTTCCCCGGAACGATGCATCGCCACCTACCCCCCCGCACATATCTTACACCTTATTACATTTCTTAAATATGACCTGCCGGATACTAACGTCGACGAGGCCCTTCTCCGCCGTGCTCCGTTCTCACCCCCTCCCGCGGTTGATGCACCGGCCGCCATTCTATATGCAAAATTTTACGGGCCGTGGAAGCGAAACGGCGAGTGAACTTCACTCTGTAGAAAATAACGCGAGGAATTTCCGGACCTGAGCCCTCTGACTCATTCCTTTTTGATTTCCCCAGGAAAACGCGCGTTTCTGAACAATGTGGGCGATTTCTGCATAGGGTAGGCTGTTTCTCGATTGCATCCTCCTTCGGCACATTCGTGGATTTGTAATGTGGAGAGAAAGGATCTCTCGTGCGCTCGTGTATTGGGGGAAGATATAGAGAGTGTTTCATAATGTGAAACCGTTTGTAACAAGGGCCTCGGAAACAAGGTCAGACAGGACAAATGTTTATATGAATTTTGTGTTATTTTTGTGTCATAAAATCGTTTCTGAAATTGTGTCCACATGTTATGAAACACTCTGTATATTTTGTGAGGAGAGCGGACGTAAGAATTCGAAATTGGAGCTCTCGAATTCGATACTGAATGGCGCTTTAAGAAACACATGACTTCCAATCTCTTCCTTACCTGTAAATCGGCTCATTCGTGCCTTCCTTGTACCAAAGCACCATGCTGACTTCATCGTTATCGGCGGAACGAATGTCGCAAGGGAGCTGCGCTTTGTTTCCGACCACACCGTCAATAGTAACAATCGGGACTGAAATGAGAAAAAACACAGATATACCGCTTTCCTAAATAACGTCAAATGCATTTCGAATCGATGATCGTTCTCATTCGTATTCTAAATGCAAGATTTAACAGAACGTTACACAGTTAAACCACGAGCACGCGGCTCCATTGAAAATAACATTTGATCTGTCGATAGTGTTACAAATTCCGATACTTTCTCCGTTTCTGGTGATAAAAGCGGAAGATGAAATCGGTCGATCGATAACCGAATATCAAATCAACCACTTTGAGTTCTCAATGAAATACTCATAACGCGGTATTTCGCAAGCACGAAAGCACCGGGATTACGTCTCGTTAGATGAGAATTCAGCGATGATGTACACGCTGACGGTTAAAGGCGAACTCCTGCTCGAGCTTAAGACTCCCCGTCCCCTCCCCCGCGGACGGTGGTTAACGGTGGTTCGATGTCGTCTCAGCTCTGTCTGCTCGATTAGATTTACATGTGGATGGATTTATCGCGTTTTAATGAGCTCTCGCGCACACTCGATCACAGTCCCACGTCTCCCTCCCCCATCACCCTCCTGTCACTATGCCACGACGTAGTGATGTTGTCGTTATCTTTCCGCGACGACGCGTTTCCCGACGTATCATCGGACTTCCCGATCGCTTCGCGAAGCGTCGTGCCCCGGGAGCGATCGCTCCCAGGGATCCCATCGATCACCGCGCTAGTATTTCGTCGCTCGACGTCCGATCGCAACAGGATCGGCCAATTTCGGAGTCCACGGATTTCCGTGCCCGGGCTATAAAGCGCGCCGATATTTTTCCCCGGCAAGGAACGCGGCGAAATGGCCGGGAAAACGGATCGCGTCCGCCGGTGACGAGAGCGCTCAAAGGTGCGCAAGCCCAAACGCGCAGTTCCCCCGCGTCGAGATCCGCGAAGATATTGCGTGAACGTGTGAAGCGTTTGCCGAAGGGATCAGTCGAACGTCGAACGCTCTGAATCTGAAATTAGAGCGCCGGGTAGACTTTCCGCGCGGCGAGACAGGCGGATTCCCGATATGAGAAACGCGATAAGCAAACATACACACACACACACACGCTGGAATGTACTTGCTCTTCTTCTTTGCACTTCTCTCCGGCTCTCTCCGGCAACGGCAACTTTGACTTCGCATATCGCCAACTCGACTACGACCCGACCACTAATAACTTGTTAATAAATCCGGCAAACTGGATGAAGTACCAAACAAGCTCCTCTTCTCAGCCACGACTCTCTTACACCAAGAAAAGAAAGAGCGTCCTCGTCGTTTACATACTCAAATGTCGTTGATGGGAATGTACGTGGAAATGTGATAACTTAAAGTAGAACGCTGCACTGTGAGTTCGTTCGCTTGGATTACAGTTAACGCGCTTTAACACGCAATGCGTGTGACGGCGCGACAGTTATGAACGCGCGCGATTGCACTCGGACGCAATCAAGATGCTTTCGTAACGCCACGAGACACGAAGCTGTGTGCCCGGCGAAGCGGTCACATTCTTCCGGCCCCATTTAATCCCGAGAGAAGTTCTCGAAGAGCGGTTCCGGAAGGAAACTCGAGAGAAGCTCCGGGCAAACTCGAAGAACGTTCCGCGAGCGTGACAAGCACCCCGCGCGCGCGCACTCGCTCGTTCATTCGCTCGCGCGCGCGAAACAATTTCATTTATCACAAGAAAAATAGCGGTTTAACTCCACGAGTGGGCGTATCATACATTTTCTGCGAGTTCGAGGGCGTGCACGAAAGAGAGAGAAAGAGAAAGAGAACTACCGTGGAATATTGCCGACGCGAAGCGGGGGAAAATGGAGGACACCCGGGGGCTGGGTCGCTCCTTCTTTGTCGTTGTGGCCAACGACGGCAGGCACGAACACGAGTGTATTAGCGTGGATGGCATCTCCGACGCTAAAGCCGCCGTCACAGTCCCGTTGTACAGTTTATTGCGCTCTCCGCCAGCACTTAGAGAAAATATAGTCGGGAACAGCGACGCGCGCGCGGGGCAGGCGGCGCCGCCGGCGCCCGACGATATTGTCATCGTGTCAAAGCACTTCGAGCCGGTCACGGCAGAATTAAACGCGCGCGGTTCCGAATAACTCGCGCGTACACGTTGTTGACGCGAAAAATTTGCATCGCGGATGAGGCTACCGATGCGGCCGCGAGCGTCACCAGCACCGGCGGGAAAATTATTACCGGCTAATTGGCGGACCTGGCGGAAATAGCCCGGGGCGTGGATAACCGTGGCCGAGCTGCTACGTTAAAGTTCGCGCAACACTGTTACAGCTCGCTCGAATATACACGATTGTCTCGCAAAGATAATCCCGCGCGTTTTCCCGGTATCAGTCGGTGATCGGGCTCTCGTTAAATTCGCATAATGTCTCTCTCTCTCTCTCTTCCGCGGAAACTCTGCCGACGAATTTATCGACGCGCGATCTCACCTTCTCTCTCTTTCTCGCTTCTCTCGTTTCTTTTTACGAGCGTTATTACGAGCAACACCGCAGTCTTCGTATTTCTTATTTTCACGTACATAACGACAGTCGCCGTTACGATGCACGCCGTTGGCGGTTTCTCGTTCGCGTCGCTGGACCGAACGGACACTCGCGTCGTGGCGCGTATTCATGGTCATGATGAATCCTAAACGCCCACGTCGTTCCCAGTAGAGACCGACGTAGAGAGTCGCATAGAGTTCATAAATAACCTTCCTACGTGGAAAACGAATCCATCAACGGCCACTCTCTTTAACTAGACGATCGGAGGCAACATCAAACGTATCCGCGCGCTCCTATCCCTTCTTTACCGAGTGGGGAAACCATAAATAAGTAATCTTTCGGTTTCCACGAATGCGCGGGAGGGCCCTGAATCTCGAAGATGATCGCCTTGGGTAAACGCGTGCGCAGGATGCCACGTTTATTTTCCTTTTTATCGGCGACGTAAATTTAACGGATTTTATTTTTTTTCCCCGCCCTCTCCCTCTTCTTCCCGCCCGCGCGCTTTTTCTCTTTCTCTTCTTCCATCTCTTTTTTTTTTCTTCTTCTTTTACTCTTTCTTCTTCACGGCTCCGCTCGGCATCGGGAAATGAAATACAGCGTTATTTCAACGGCGGAACGTACGTGGCTATTTTTTCTCGACTGATAGCCACCAATACGTTACCGGACGATGAGAGATCCCGAAAAGCCATATATTCGCACACCTGCACCTGCAACGCGAAAAATAACTCGAGTAAACTGCAGCCAATAACATATTATGCGACGTAATAAATGATTCGCTTGTGGCATAATATGAAATTGCAATTTCGCAATAAGACACATTGTAATGAACGGTACGCGCGCGTTTCGACGTGCGCGCATTCGCGAAATAATATCAGCGCTAATTGAGGGGTCCGGGGCGAAATTTCGTAATTGAACACAAACATATCGGTTCGATCGAATTTCCGCCGAAGAATGGCCGTTTGTAAATATCGTTGCATTCGTCGATACATCCAGGAATAAAACAAGTTCGTCGGGGGCTGGTGAACACGCTCAATTTACGGTTCGATACAATAGGCTCGCCGCAATAGTTCGCGCCGTAACGAGTCCATTCAAGATTTAAGACGCACAATTAACCGACCAAACGACCGCTATTCGAACTCGCGGGATGTGTGTTATTTTTTTTTTCTCTCCTCTGCTCTTCTTGTATTATTAGTACGAGACGATAAAACGAACGTTAGCGTAACGGCGTGCTTTGGACTCTCTCGGCCCTAGAAAATCATTGCAGAAACAAGAATAACGCCCGGGGCTATGTTCTCGAGCCGGACAGGGTAATCTTTCAAACAGTTTAACGCTAGCCTCGTATTACGTGATTGCTGCTCATTGGTATAATGGATGGACCGGCGACTCCGATACATTGACTTCATAAAGAAGGAAATCACGCGTACGAGACGTCAAAGCGAGGGAGAGAAAGAGAGAGAGAGAGAGAGCGTGTTCGTGAAATAATAGAACGGCCTCTTAATCCGTCGTATCCTCGGGGCGTACACACAGGGCGTATACGAATGGTCAAAATTTACATAAGCGCGACGAGAACGGCCGGCTCCCTAGCGGACTACTCAATTTGAGTGTATATTAAACGCGCCCACGCGTTTCCAACAATAATGATAAGTCCTAACGCGCACAAAGGTGACTTACCGAGGGACCTGCACAAAGCTGCATCGACATGGACTGTGTCGAAAGAGGACTCTCTTGCCAGTGTATAACGTGGGCGGCGCGCGACACGCATAGAAAATACATTTAGGATATACGGTCGATGGAGCGTAGACGGTTTGAGTCATTTGTCATGTTCGTAACTAGCGGGTAGACGGCCGCTCCAATTTACGTCGGGACGCGCGATCGGTCGTTGTATCCGCGACGATGACGGCATAAGCCTCGTCTTAAGCGCTTAATTATATTCTCGCGAATGGAATCACAGACGCGACGCGCGCAAAAAGCGCGGCCGTCGAACGACGCTCGTCCCGCCGCGGGAGGAAAAACGCGAACACGGCGGGGCTAATTATCGCGGTAATAAAGAATTCCCTAATCAACAGTTGGCGGAGTTCGAAAAAACGAACGGTCGTTATTGCAATTCCGTCGGGAGACGGCGAAACGTTCGAGAGAAGTAGGAGAATAATTCATAATTTTATACGACCCCGCCGCTCTGTGCAGGGCGAATTATGCGCGAAGCTTCGATTTTTAAAGTAGACCTTCTACTCCGTTTGAAGTACGCGCGGCATTAACCGTTACGGAATGGAAAATGCTATTCAAGCCGGCCAACGACGGCGGCGGCGAGGTAAGAATCGATAGAGTCAGTCGTCTGCCTAATAGACCTAGCGATAAATCATCGTGTCACCCGAGACACGACCGAAGACTGTATACCGGCGAAATGTGCGGGTTAGCATCGAGAACCGAGTTTGTTTAATCATTAGTTGCGCGCTCGCTCGCTTGATCGCTGCTAATTACCGTAGCAATTACATCACGATTTGTATTAATTATAA